CGGGGTAGAGAAGGTTTCCCGAACGGTGTCGACCAAGTGTGCCAAAAAAACGAGTCGTTGGGTGGGTAAGGCAACCGACTTCTCGGTATTAATGAAGTATCCTAGCTTTGTAAGTAACGCAATTGCGAGAACTACGCCTGACAGTGTGGCTTGGTAACTTGAGCGCGCCCCGGGAACGCCCCACAGTTCGCCGACATGTCTATCATCAATGTACTGTTAGGAAGGGACACCGACCTCTCGAATGTAAGAGGTTGCGACGGCCCCGAGGGTCTGATAGATGCAAGGACTCTCTTTCCATCCCTGGCAAAGCATGTTCTATAATAACCACCAGCGACCCCATTCGGCGCCCACAAGGGTTCGACTATCTTCTGAGATAAAAGAAAATGATCGAAGCCGGACTTGTCATCTAGTTTAGTGTGAGAGACTTTTTCACGAGGTATATCGTGGGATATTGACAACTTGGTCCAGTTTGAAGGGATAATGCTTCATGAAACAGTTAAGATATTGCTGGTCGTGAACCAAGCGTGGTTTGGATGGCTTGATACTAAGTGACATGACTATTCGAGGTGATGGGACTTCCTCTACCCTCCCGAGCGCGGTCATAGCGCCCATGGCGATCTTCTTTTCGATCTCGGTGGAGATGACTTGGGCATGGGGGATACACGACTTATTATTGGGAAAAATTGCATCAGGAGGGAAGCTATGGTGATATCTCCGATATGTACCATGAAAGGGAACAATAAACTCGTGAATATTGATCCCGTCTTTTATCCAGGACATGGTTAGGTCCTGTTGGGGGTGATTCTGAGTCAAATATTCCCAGCCGGACATATGTTTATGCGGTTCGCCTGCTAGAAACGATCCGAAATCCCTAACCCACATATCACCTTTGGCAATCAACTGAAATGGCGGGGGCACGGATGGGACGATAGGACCTCCCTTTCCTTGGGGCCAGCGTATCCACTTGACTCGGCGTTGCTCGTAAATGCGGGTCACAGCCACAGGTCAAACGTGGTTTTCAGCTCCCATGCAGGAATTGCATGGTCGTACTGTGAAAGGGAAAGGAGAAAGCTGTGAGGTCTACTGTGAGGTCTAAGCTGTGAGGGCCCCGAGGAGAGGAAGGCTGTCCCATCCGGCGGCTCAGAGAGCGGCGCGGGGTCTCTCCGTTAGAACGCGGAGGCGACCTGGATGTGGCAGACTTCCTTTCGGGATCCCAGCAGGAGGGAATAAAGCGCTCGCAGAAATCGAAGATTGTCTACAAAGCCAGCTGCTGGGACTGTGATGCTTTCTACATTGGTAAAGCCAAAAGAAGATTGCAGGACGGAAAGACGGAGCACTTCAAAGCTCTCACTCAAGTTGGTCACGCTTCCGCTGTTGCTGATCATTCAACTTCTACCGGTCACAACATCAAATGGGACCATTTCGAGATCCTAGCAAGTGAGCAATGAGATTTACAATGTAAAATCAAGGAAACATTGTTGATACGGGACTTAAAACCCGCCCTAAATGAAAACGTCGGTAGTGAAAAACTCTTTCTTTATTAATTCACACCGGATGTAGTTTCTGTTGTTCATTGTTGTCTAGCTAGTTACCAATATCTCGCTTTAGTTTTAGCCTTTTTAAATTTTGTCATATTTTGTAACCGTCACTTCTGAAGATGTATGTTGTAACTTACGAAACGTCAAGTTGAATATACCATGCGTAATCTATTTGTTATGTTCGTTACCGCTGTTGCTTTTCTCTTTCTCCTGAAATTGAAATGGCCGAAAAACAAGGATTTTTATGATAATAAGCTATTCATTTAAGCTTAGAGAAAAATTTGAATACGTTTGCCAAATCCGAGTCATTCTCAATTTCTCGATGGTCTAGTCTTGTATGCCTGCTTATTACTAAAGTGGATTTAAAAAGTGCTCCGTTTTGAGAACACACTGATTTTTGAAACTGATCCAAGCTTTCCATTGTTCTAGCTCTACTGCTTTGTAAAACACTTCGGCTCGATTTCCGCCGCTCTCTTGAGTTCGGTCAAAGGAGCGCGGGCTCTTTCCCGAACAGCGGCTGGTAATCGAGCCTATAAAAACACCCAGCCTGCCCATACACGCTGGAATACTGATATCACTGAAGGAAGCCCGGGTGCGAGGTTAAATGCAGGCTTTTAAATTATTACCTGACGTGACGTCACAATTTATCAGTGAATCCCTTTGTGCTGTCATGAAGTACATAACAGTTATCCAACGCTTTCGAGTTGTATACCATGAAATATCCCACGCGCGAGTCACTTGTATTTTCTCGGTATACACAAGCCTCCAGGCAAGTGTGTATACCAAGAAAATACAAGTGACAAGTGAGATAATCCATGTTATACCACGAGAGGGCGTTGCATAATTTTTTTATACTATGCCATAGAAAAGCACAATCAATGCGACATACGCTACGCGCGGCGCATGATTGGAAGGTTGGATATAGGTATGTGCCGCTGTGAAGGGTATGGTTTTCAAGCAGTTTACTCTAGGATAGGGTATATAAATCAGAGCGTTTGGGTCTAGAATAGGGTATCATTTTTCGCAAAACTGACTGCTTGGTTGAAGAGTTTATCTAGAGTAAGGAAACCAGGAATTGCCACTCAAAACTATAAAAAAATCAAATCGGCAAGTTTAAATTTACGCAAATCAGCCTCAACAGTGTCGATAAATGGGGGGATTTGGGGAATTTACTCTAGTATAGGTTAGCAAAATTCAGCTGAACTAGCTCTGGTATAGGCCAAGGGTTCCAGGGTCCCAGCGGCACATCCCCACCCAAAAATTCCCAAAGTACCCCCGGGCGTCGAATATACAACGACTTTCCTGTGTTCTAATTGGCTGTAATTTTTATGGCGCGGTGTAAATGGGGAGATTTCTTTGCTTTTCCAGTTTACTCATTTTGGAGAGTCTTGAAGAAAACGAGAAAAAATTCGCAAGCACAAATATCGTTTACGTGTGAACAAAAGGCACAAACGTTAATGAGTACTAAATATCCGCTTGCAATTGCAGTCAAACCAAGTGAAGCGTACCCCTCAAGGTTACATTAAGGCGGGGGGTACACATGAATTTAAGTGAAATTTTAGGAAGTTTAAAGAGGGATTAAAAGGATAAAAAGGGGTTTGGAACACCATCAGACAGTTCATTGTCCCCAAAAGGGCACCCCGGGTTGGTCGGCGACTGTTTGGTGTACGTCTACCAATTTCTAACTTCAAATTCTAATTTTAAAACAACATCAAATCTTCAAAATAGCCTATTTCCATAAATTTTACTAATCCTTTGAGAAAAACTATTTATTCCCAAATATACCCAAAAATCACCAAAAAATTTACAAAACAGTCCAAAACGTAGCTATGTGAAACGAGCAGAGAGATTTTTCACTGCTTGAAACGTGAACGAGATATTTGCATTCAATCCATAATACCCAGCAAAAATATGGCCTTCATGTTAACCCCCGCCTTAATGAATTGATCATTTGAGCATTGAACCCGCTAATCGTTTCAAGAATGCAATAATGAATTGATTATTTGAATATTGAACTCGCTAGTCATTTCAAAAATCATTATTAAATTGATTTTTCTGAACATTAAACCCACTAGCCGTATTCTTGGAACGACTAGTGGTTTCAATTTTCCAATAGTCAATTCATTACTGCATTCTTGAAACGACTACCGGTTCAATATTTAAATAATCAATTCATTAATGTAATCTTGAGGGGTGCGCTTCACTTGGTTTGACTGTAAACGCAGAGGTGTGGACGGGACGCGAGGTTTCAGCGTCGCCATAATTAGACATATTTGAAACAGTTTGTTGAAGAAGTGAAACCACTCGACGTTTCTTTCAGTGTCAGACTAAACTGGTTTGGGATAGTTTTATCACTGTCTGATTTATCACTGAAACTTCAATTCGAAAATCATATACCGGATTATTCGCGGAGGAAATATCATTGATTTCGAGTCATTTGTCTCGAATGTAAGCACTACTTCGATTTTGAAAGTGGTCACTTTCTTATCAGTTTTGGCGGATGTAAAAATAGCTATCTATTTTAGGACGCATTTCATTGAAATATAAAACTCCTCCGTTGAAAGATAAGCTATAGTGCGCAGCTTTAATTATAGTCTTTACCATGATCGTACGCGAATTCAGGCCGATATACTGATACGTGCTTCACTAGCCATCACGTCAATCTATTTTTGGAGCGCCAGATTCCTTTATAGCTTTATAATTTCTAAAGTTACGGGCTGTAAACCTGATAATGAAAATATCATTTTAGTCTGAAAGAATCTAAGCCTTAGAACAAAGAATTGAAAAGTAACACAATCGACAATTGAAACACCGTTGTAAACAAAGCAAGTAACCTTTACTTATATTTACATCAGGTGCACTTTCAGCTTGCATTACAGGACTGTTATCTATACAGGCCCTGTTCCAATAAAATATAAAAACTTAAAAATTATATATTGAAAAGATAAAATACGACCATAGTGTGATTGTCTGGTTAATGTTAATTGTTGTTACAATATGAATAAAATATAATACTTTTGAAAGTGAGGTTAAGTTGATTGTTTTGCTTTGTCAGTTTAGTTCATTACAATCCATTTTAACCTGTTGCAGGTATGAATAGCTGCTCTCTTTTTTTGCCTGGTTAATGTGTCTATTACGTTTTACTTTACAGTTCCCTTCACCCCTACTTCGGCATTGTATCTGCGTGGTAATTCAGCTATTCTACGCCGACTTGCTCTCCCAGCCATTTCGTCCGATTTGAAGTCCACATTGATGGAACAGAATAGTCCAAAATAACGCCCCTTAAAGATATATGAGAACATAAAAATCCGTTTTTCGTTTCCGGTAAATTAACAGAAACGTTTTGGCCCTAGTTGTTCCATGGCTGGATAACGCTATCTACCGGATAAATCGCTATACAGTGGATAAGTGTTGCCCAAACAAACCACGCTATCCGCTGGATAGTTATTTATCTGGCTGGGTTGTTCGAAATTACTATCCAGTGGATTACGTGGTTTGTTTTGTTAACACTTATCCACTGGATAACGATTTATCAGGAGGATAGCGTTATACAGCCTTCGAATAACTTCAAGCCCTGGTGGACAATGTTATCCACCTTTTGAACAACCTGGTCTGGTGTTTATCTGGGCCCTAAATACTCATCAAGTCTTTTTTTGGGTAGACAAAGAACCTCAGTTTGAACGTGGAAGGCGCTGAACGGCATGTGTGTTGCAATGGTCCACTGACGGACTTCAACATCCCAGCATTCCACGCTATCCAGTGCATCTTCTTCGCTCTCGCCTCCAAACACGAAAACACGATTTGCCAGAGCGCCTATCCCAGCAGCACAGCGCGCTGTGTTCAGTCTCCCAGGCTCCACGGTCCACTGATCACTGGTAGGATCATACATCTCGCAACAGTCTAGAATTCCAGAGTCATGATCGTTCTCTCGACCACCCACCACCAAAACTCTACCGCTCACGACCGCTGCAGAAGCGAAACAGCGCCTTTTCACCATAGAATCCACCAAGATCCAGCGGTCCTGCTGNGGAACACGCAAGCGGGACTATAAGAAATGAATACAATCCAGTAAATATGAATCTCTTCAGCAAAACATTTTAATTTTGCATACGTTATCAGACATTCAGACTTCAAAGAAGTCTTCGCAGTATATTTCCGGTTAACCGAGTACAACTCGGAAGTATACAGAGGACACAACTGAACTCAAGCAACTTAAATGTCAGCCTTTTCCAGTTCTCAGCCTAATCCTGAGGGATTAGGGAGATGACTGGAATTCCAGGCTCTAAAGCTATTCGACGAGAGACTGTTGACATGAGTGATGCGCATCATTTAATTTAGCGGTTTGAGGAGTACATCCAGCCAGAAGGCGTTTATCGCCTCACTTGTGATGGACAACATTTTATCTTTTCCATTATTATGTTGTATATTTTCTTCCGGCATCAAAATAATCAAGAACCAAAACATTTTTGCATACCTTCTTGCCAAGAATATTTCGCCATTGTAATTTCCAGAAAATAAAGCTGAAATGATACACGCTCCAGTGAGCAGATCTAGTGACAATACTCTCGTTTAATTACGAATCATATAAAAGAAACTTAACACTCAGCCGAAGGACATTGAATTTTACTTGCAATTAAATCGAGTCCGTTACACTATATTGCAGTGATGGAAGTTTTCGAAATAAACATTAAATACTTCCTTGTTCCGGTTTGAAGGCTAATTACTGAAAACGTACGGGCATTTTTCACATTATAGTCCATTGCCATCTACGCCATCGTTAGCCTGCAGAACAGGCGGTTTAGCGGGACAAAGCGTGAGCACGATAGATGTCACCGACGGGCGAGAAAGGCGCGCTACGCTTTGGTTATTTTGTCATTCTCACTTAGTAAGGGATGGACCGTTATTTTTTGAGGGGGGAGGGGTGGAGGGTGTTGAGAAATTTTCTGAGGCATGAATTTTTTTCTCGCTTTTAATGATTAATAGGTTGTGCAAGAATTTTTTTCACATCCAAAATAGGACCTGAATAGTAGAAAGCACTTGCTCGAATTTTTCCCATGGCTCCCCTTGCACGATTTTTGTTTGCTGTGCACAAAATTTTTTTGGGGGGGTGATTGCCCAGCCCGTCCCGCCCACTAATCACTAATCAATCTTTATTTACACTCACTCTTGCTCAATATAATAAATTACAGCAATCCCCTAAAAAAATAACGGTCCGTCTCTAATAGTTTTTGTCATTTTTAGAGTACTGTTCTTCAAAATTAACTTATTATCACTTCACTATTATCAGTATCTTCTCGATTCTGATAGTTAGGTTCGTGGTACGAATATATGTGTCTCAACCAGACATCGCCACACTGATTAATTAAGGTTGGCTTTCGATTGTTCAACATTTTCAATCAGGGAACGTTGCAAAACTCAAAAATCTCTTTTGCTACTCTGAGCACGCCACACTGGACCCAGGATCTTTTACAAGGCATTTTGCTGACGGTTTCCCAGCTTCTCTTGCGCTCGTCATAACACTCCACGCTGTCCAAGCTCCCCGAGTTGTTACAACCTCCAAACAGGTAAATCCGGTTTCCAAGTCTTGTGACACCAGCCGCCTGGCGCGGGACGGAGATGTTTGGAAGTGAGGTCCATTCCTCGGTGGCCGGATCCAGCACCTCGCAGGAAGAGAGATACGCTCCCGTTGATGACTGGCCGCCGATGACAAAGATCTTGCCGTTCAACTCAATCGCGCAGGCGAAATAACGGGCTACTTGCATCGGTTTGACTTCACTCCAGTCCTTTTTTCGGGGGTTGTAGCGCTCAACGGTTCGCAGGAACTCATTTCTGTCGCTCAAACCACCAATCGCGTACACGAGACCGTGGCACGCCGCTGAACAGAGACCAGCGCGTTTTACAGACATGGGCGTCTCGATGAACCATTTGTTGATATCCGCGTCATAGCGCATGACTTGTTTGGTCGAACCGCCATTCGGTATTCTTCCGCCAATGATAAAGATGTGATCGCCGCATGTCACAGCCGTGGCTGCGCAGCGCATTTGAGGCATGTTTGCAACCGCTATCCAGGAATTGGTGTGGGCGTTGTACTGCTCGACAGACTGACCGTTTTCGGTCTGGGTACTACCGAATGCGTACAACACGTTGTCGTGTACAGCGGTGCAGTGCTCGTCTCGAGCCTTGAGCATGTCAGCCAGCGGTAGCCATTTCTTCTTGGCCGGAGAATAACAAGTCGCTTCTTTGCTCAAGTTTCCACCGCAAACGGTAATGACGTCCACGTGTCTTGCAAGATTGTTCCGAACGCGCTCGCGATCGTCGTGCTCGTAAAGAACGAACGAGTTCAAAGCCTTTACCACGAGCTTCGTGCAGTAAAAGCTGCTCTTGACAAGCTCTTCATTTTCCACCTGGTCAACCAAGTAATGTTTTGATAGCGAAGTCAAACGAATTTTGCTGAACAGTTCTTCAAAATGCTCTCTTCGCGTGTCCAGGTCGTGTTTCACCCACGTTATCAGCGTCTCGTAAACATCTTCCTCGCGCGAAACCTCGAGATCATCGCGCGCGATAATTTCGGTATATATTCTGTAGTCGACGGATTTGAAAGCTTCGGTGTCGCAGGCTTCAGTAAAGTGTTTCACAATGTAGCTTGTAGCAGAGCTTTTTAGAGAATCACAGCTATATTTCTCTGCAAAGTCCCTCAAGGAGAAACATCTCGTGGGACTTAGCAGGCTTTGCAAAAACTGGCAGCCGATATCTTTGAGGCTTTGAATAAGCAAGTAATCGGCGGCGGCCACGAGGCTCTGTACGTTCTCCTCCGAGAGAGTCACGTTCCCTGTGTAGATGTAGGAAAGCAGCTGTTCCATGATCTCGGCTTGTAGCTGGTCAAGTTTACATTCCATCAGAATCTTTTCTTTCATGTCGTTTGTGAACAAACCGCGGAAATACGGGCTGCCAGCGGCCAGAATGCTACGGTGAGCGAGAAAGCTCTGATCTTCCACGAGAAGGCGAACATCACAAAGCACTCCTTCTTTTCTTAGCTGGTCGGTGGTTTTCAAAAGAACATCCTTTTACTGTTCGTTTGATACTGAAAGGGTTATGGATTCTTCTTGATCCGCCATTTTTAACACCGCAAGGCCACTAAAACTACAACTTTGCTTTACTTACGTGTAAGATGACTTATGCTAATTTTCGTCTGGTTACCGTGGTTTCGCATAAATTATACTTGTGAATTACTCGTGTGGATCGTTAACGAGAGAGAAAATTGTTATTAGTTTTAAGCGATTTTCCCGAGCTTTTTCAAGTCTTTCAAGACAAACCACAAAATGTAAAACCGTCTGCCATACTTTTTCAATATCTTGGGGACACATATAACCCAAGCGCGAGAACCACACTGGGAGAATAACGGCCCAAGGTCTTGACAGTACAGAACGAGCGCCGCGAAGTTCGTTCAAAAAAGACCGAGAGCCGATATTCTCCCCGTCCCGTCCCGAGCAAACCTAAGAGATTTACAGGAGATTCATTAACACGACTGAAAATGTTTAGAAAAACATGCCACGACCTCGGACTGGAAAACATCACAAACTTCACTGAAGCGCGCTATTCTGATTGGGAGCCGAGTCAGCCGACTAGACGCACACTCACATTTGATGTAAAATAAGAAAGAAGGGACAGAGGAAATCTTTTATGTGAAAGCTAGTTCTAACCTGGTCAAAACTACCAGTACGTGATCTTGCGGGATCATTCGGGAAAGTGCCCGGTCCAATACTTGAAGACCATATTGGGTCGGCAACAGAGCAATCTGATTGGCCGATATTAGTTATTGGCCCTCTGAACTACCTTCGCACTTGGAGTGGTTTTCAAGTGAGTGTCGTAAAACCAAAATTAACCCAATTACTTACCAATTAGACTGCTCATCCAATCTCAAACCGTAGTAAAATCAAAACCAAGAGCAAAGTAATTGCCTGATTACTTTCGACACTCAATTGAAAACCGCTCTATGTATTTTTTTTAACAAAACTAAAACTAGTTTGATTTTCCATCATTAAAAATGCGTCAACTAGGTTTTGACTTTTCGAGGTCGTGTTTTCAAGTGCCCCTTTAAGTTTAAAACGCTGGACTGAAAATTTTGTTGGGTTCTTTAGCCCATTATTAACAGGGAGAAGACAAAGAGTGTGTCTTGAAGCAATTCTCTTTCACGGGATATTACAGAAATAACTCGATTCATTCTTCTTGCAAATTACACTTACGTAATCCTTTAATTGTTACATCTATACGTAACATTATTTCATTGTTAACTGTGATTATCATGATTATAGAAACTCCCGCTCTAAATTCATTACAAAATACATTATTGTATAATACTATGCCAGTGATAACAAAACTTAATATCTACAGTACAGCATTAGGCGCTGTTCCACGGTCACTCGGCGAAGTTTTCGATTAATTCTTGACAATAACCTGTTGGATTTTATTGGATTTGACCAATCGAAAATAAGTACACAAGACATTTGGGGAGGAAACTTCTGTTGGCATAGTAACTGTCAGATTTTCGCTGCAATTCCTCCCACATATTTCTCAGGCTTTGATTGGTCAGTTCAAACAGAACCCAACAGAAAGCAGTGATAAAACATGCCAGGAACCAATCAAAAAATCGAGAGGTGACAATGGAACAGAGCTTTCACTGCAGCTAGATTCCCTACTTGGAAAGATAACGTTTTTTTCCCGCTAGTTACATATAAGAATGTGCTGCAAACCGGTCGCGAGAAAGTTGGGAGGATACAATCCGCGAGCAAAATCTCCGATCTGTATCTCAAATGGAGAATTTCCTCGCAGGTTATAGAGGGTGCAGCAGCAAACTTTGCCCGCGTTTTCCCCTACATCCTACATGGCTCTCTCTTGCAACTCTAAACGAGGTAACAATGAAAAATTGTGAGCAAACTTCTCGTCGTCTTTCTTGATTAAGACAGATCGGAGAACAAGTGCCACTTTCGGGAAACCTTCGTCAAGTGCCAGAAGTGTTTTCCGATTCGTATTATCCAATCAGAAATTAAACTAGCAACACGAAAGTTGTGACGCCAGCTTGTCGTAACTACGATCAATAACGTTGCCTAGCAACGACCATAGCAAAGACATTTGGACTCCGAAGGTGATGCTTGTTCACCAGGAAAGATTCGACAGAGAAACGCTCGTAAATTATTGAATAGCTGAATTAAACTGACCACAAAAAGTGGGCTAGCGATAAAAACAAACCATCTGGTAAAGTGTAACTGTTTGATTTTAGTGCAAACGGGCGGTCGAGAAGTGCTTGTTCAAATTTTCTTCTTCCGAGAGCAATTAACAAGAAGTTTCGAGATGGATATATCCAAGGAATTTATTAATTCACAACATGAGAAAATGCTTTGTCACGATGCTGCTTTCCGGGGCGTTTTTTTGCAATCACGAGTTCCGTACTCTAAAATTAACGCAAAGGCAACCGAGACAGATACAGGGATACAAGAAGTAAAAACAAAAATAAACCAACCAAAATTCCAACAGAAAACACCGACCCTACAGAAAGAGCGTAAAAACAATAAGCTATTTTGATTCAATTGTAAACCCGGCAAGCTCCAAAAAAGGAGCTACGTCACGGTTTTGCATTTTGAAAAGTTGAGCATCAATTTTTCAAGCTCGTCGTTCGTAACTATCCGTGTTAATCTTCTCCATCCTCAACCCTCCTTGATCCTTTATGGTTTATTATTGTCTGTTTGGTGTTCTTCTATCTTAGCAAACTACTATTTTCAGGTTTCTTTCAATTTAAAGGTGATTTTGTACGCGGCCAAAATAACGGAAAATACCGTGACTTTAAAAACAAAGCTTGTACCAAAATCATTGTCGACAAAGCAGTTTTAAGTATAAAAAGCGAACTTGTTTCTAAACTATATCTTCTGCAGTTTCAGTGCCAATCTGAAGATCTTTCTGCGTCCTAACAATACAATGTGTTATTTTTTTCTTTCCTCTTGTGCTTTAGGATATATTTTTACAGACCGCCCGCTTGCAAGTGAATATATAGTCATATATTATGATAATTACGAATATTTTACTGTACATGCATTAAATTGTCAATCGGGAGGTCGAGACACTCTTCACGTTTGAGTAATTGCGTTATTTTAAGCTTCGGAAAAATCCTGTTAAAACTATTGAACTAAATGATTTGGGTGAGCTATACACAACTCTAGAAAAAATACGCGATACTTTACATTCGCGCCAAGTGTTTAAACTAAACAAGTAAACTATTTGACAAACTTCTGCATAAATAAAGCTATAGAACTAGATGCGTCTGAAACCAGAAGCCCCTCAACAAAAATACACATCGAAGCTCCCATTAAAGGAGCGCTGTCACCGATTATTCGAATTTCTTCAATAATGAGTGAAATAAACGCATGAAATTTTTCCCTGAATTTATCATTATGGAGTAAAATTTGGGTCCTCTTAACAAATACAAAAGCAATAGGCCATTTCCGAGTTACCTGGTGCCTCTGTGTCAAAAAGAATCTCCGTGCGAAACCTTTCATGTGAAAATGTGTTCCGCCTACGGGTTCATTTTCGTGCAAATCAATCTCACTTTCATATGAAAGGTTTGGCACTAGGACTCGTTTCGAAACAGAGGCACACGGTAAAATCAAAATCAAACGATGGCTGGCTTTCCGGTGAGCCGGGTATGTTTTAGTCTCCTGCGCAACCGTTGTTTGGGATGTCACGCAGCGTTCCACCCAAAGAGGGTCAAGCCTTACGTGAAATCTCAAGAAACGGCCGTGGAGGAGACTAGGTATGTTTTTAATCTTCTTGAAATCATTTTTATTTTAAAACATCGATGACAGCAACCCCTTAAATGACTTTCAATGACTTCTAATGTGCTATTTTGCATGACCCACATTCCCTCCCACTATGGAATTAATGTTATAATAAGCCTAGACATACTACAAGTCAACCCTTTAAGCCCGAACAAACAAGTCAGCATTGGTTTTGTCCTCAAGAAATCACCACAAACTCAGTGATACTGATGTCTGACCACTAGAAGAAACTGCCTTGATAAATCCTCAAATTCTCCCAATAGCTGCTAAGGTTAGGGAAAATTTATACGCTGATATGGGGGCTCGAAGGGTTAACGGAAAGAAATTAAAATATAACTACAAAAATCTTGTACATTCAGCAAAATCACCGCATCTGTAGATTCCAAATAAAACTGTGGCGTTTCTGATATATAATTTGCATTCCAATGTTCATATGCCCCATGCCTGTTTAAGGGCCTTGACTGCGCTCTGGATTTTCGTCATGGGTCCCAGTTTGTTCTCTGTTAACGATTCCAACATTTCTTGCGTCAAGAGTAGAAGGGCGCGGCCGTCGATCTCCTGTAAAACAAAGCGAAGACGAGAGAGAGAAACTTGGCGTGGAACGGAAGCTGTACAGAGGTCGCCTATTACAGCATAGCTGGCGCCGGAAACCGCGCTGTCAATTTTAATAAACGTTAACGTGCATCATAGTGCAAATAGTGCAATGATCCACGCTTATGGCGTAAGGAAAGTTAATTTTGCTTCGCCTTTGCATTGCCAATGCTATAAAAGAATTAATTCATGCTTTTAGCTGTGCATCATAGAGTTATGGACTCCCGGCTGAGCCATTCTAGCTTCCCGATGTACGTAGGGCATGAATCAATCTTTAAGTACAACATACCCTGAAATGAATTTGTCCTGCAAAGTTTTCGTTGCACAGTGTAGCGAGCGTTGCAAGAAGCATAAGCACTTTCAGCTCTTCGGCGCAGCGATAGTGGTAACACTGCAAGGACGCTAATGACTGCAAGCTTAACATACCTCTTTAATAAAGGCATCCGCGTAATTCGAGCAGCCGATAGAATACATGAAGCCCGTCACCTCCTGCACATTCCACAGGCGAGGATCCTTACCGCTGTTTGAGCTCTGGTACAACAGAACGGAGGCAGCGTCAGATTCCTGAGCCGCGGACGAAGGAAGATTACTCGTCGAAGACACCATCGAATCGTGTGACGAGTCTCTCTCCGTCGGCTGTAGCCAGACAGCAGCCGAGTCGTTGTGATGAAGCTTTTGACCGGGAGGAGGGTAACCGGCGACGGACGGGGGTGGGGGAACAATAGCGGTCGTTTCTTGCAGGGGACGACCGTCGCTTGAGGATGTCACGCCATTATCTTTTCCTGAAACGGGATTGCGTTACAATCAAGGAGGATTCAATACACTGCTGAAAATGTCACGCCCTCCTTTATGATGTCTACGTTATGAAAACCCGAATCTGTTACTTTCAAGCTGAATACGCATTCTCAAGTATTACCTAAACTAAGGAAAGCTAACACTAACCAAAAGGATTTTTTGCGAACTTCAAAGGGGACGTTTGTAGTTAAAGGGCATGAAACTTTTCTAGTTCATTAAACATTTTATATTATAAGGTAAGTCTTTTAAACAAACAACAACAACAACAACAAATAGAAATGGAGAGAGCATGATAAAATGAACACTGATCGAGAAATGCTGAAAAAAGAGAAATTTTGGCCTATTCAGAATGTTTTTAGTACCAACCTCTTACAAACCTAACACTGGAGAATATTAGTCCGAGATCGAGCATAGCGAGGTCCGTACAAGAACGACCGAAGATCAATATTCCCCAATACGGCTCGAGCAGGCTAGATTAGTAAGTAGTTTATTACATGGCAAAATACACGGCTTGCAAGGGTCCGTATGGTAAAATCCAGACCAACAAAGAGCCAATCCGAACGCTCAGATTTACCACAGACTAGCTTGTCATATGTAATAAGAGTTTTTTTTTCTCAGAATATTACATTAGGCAAGTAAAATTTTCTTCCCCTGACCTTTAACACAGCTGGTCTGATTACAGTGTCCCATAGGATAGCGAGTAGCGCTGACAAGCTCTGAACAGCATCCCAGCACTTGACAGACGCGCTGTAGATACGGCTGAAGGTGTTCTGCTTTGTTCACTACGCGCACACGCCGCATGAGCCGCTTGCCGTTCTTGCTCTTGGTCTCAATGCACACTGTGCCGCCAAGCTGTAACTCCCTGAGAGAAGATCGAGAATAAACACAGATTATTTCAATTCTCCTAACAATAGCACCGCATTGTTGGGTAAGTAGGTGGGGAGAAGTACGAAAACGATCAACTACGGGATATAGTTTCACTTTCTAACTTTGTCACCAGACTCTGTATCCAAGGCTTAAATTTAAAGAAAAAAGGAAGGGAAAATCTATATTTTGATTGAATCTGAACAATTTTAGACTGAATTTTCAAGATGCGTTTTCCAAGTGGTCTCTCCTTTAAGCCAACATCTTTTCTGTTTCAAACCTAAATTGCCAACTTTAACAGTCGGCTTAGCACCCGAAGCGTTTCCGATTACAACAAGCCAATCGGAAAACTGCACTAGCGCTCGTAAGCACGCCGAAAGTTGTCGCGTTGGTTCGACGTCATAAACACAACCTAGTCGCTCAGCAGCATCTCTGAGGAAAATCACGGGCTCTGTCAAATAACAGTAGGCCGGACTACTTAAACAACAAACATACTAACAAAACTTTCTTACCTGTTCTTCTTGCTCTGGTAAAACTCGCGGCTAAACAGCTCCAGCACTTGTTTAGGGTTGATGGAGGCGGACACCAAGTGCTGCATACACAGTCGCATGATGTTGTGCTTCTCCGGCCCAACCACAGAGCCTCGCACGGCATCAGGGAGACTGCGCATCAAGTCACGACTGAGAAGAGGTCCTGGGTAACAGCGCTTGTTTAAATACACGATCTCTTGCGGATACAGAGATTTCGCTAAGATGGGAGGGAAAAATAAGTATTGGTGAGCTGGTAGAGAAATGTTCTACACTAATTTGCTTCTCTTGTTTAACCATTGTTTCGCAAAGGAGAAGCTAAAACAGAAAATAAAAAGGAAAACAACAACAGCACACAACCTTTTTTCTTCTGTCCGTCATCCTCTGTGGACGCTCGTCTCTTGACGGGCCGACTCAGGGGTCTAGGCACTGATGGGCGGCTGACGTCAGTAACTGGGCCGTACCGTTCCACATATCTATCAGGCATCGGTCTGTAACAAGGAAAATCGGTATATAAGTTCTGTAATTACTTGCATTGCGCTTACACAACATGGTGAGTTTTTTGGTGAAAGGGCAAACAAGGATCCAGATTATGAATGAAGTGGGGACGCACAAGGATCGACCCAAAATTATTTTACACGATAACAATACCGAGCGACAATCAATGAGGCATCATTTGGTCTTGGCCAATAAAGCAAAGTCACTTGCCGGTAAATTGCACGTGTGGTTACTTTGGCCCTGCGATTGGTTGAAACCAACGTAACGAAACGAAACACTATGGCGTGATTCTCTGAAAGGTAGTGTCCATTTGAGCGTAGTGGCGCAACAAGGCGGCGCAAATCCCCTTTCTAATCGCATGAAGCGACTAGGAGTATTTCTACTACCCCCTGAATGGATGGGATTTTAGTCCATCGTAGGGGTTACCCCTCGACATTCAATTCACCCATTGATACACCCGGGTAGAGAGGGGCTCCGTGAGAGTAGTGTCTTGCCCAAGAATAGAACACAATGATCCCAGCCAGGGTTTGAACTCGGACCGCTCGATCTGGAGACAAGCGAGCTAATGATCTAGCTACCGTGCCTTCCACGATTCTGAACGCTGAAAATAATACGCAAAACAACAACGACAACAACAACAACAACAACAACAACAACAACAACAACAACACACTCTGCCTTACCCCGGGGGCTGCAATGGATGAGCCACTGACGAGCAGTAACCAACAGGGAAGATGTCTAAAGAATCCTTATCGACAAGCTGATCGTAGGACTCGTCCCACCCGTCAAAGTGGATTCTTAGCAGGGGTCCCTTCAGGTCTGTCACTGTCGCTGGGCAGATGAGAGCCGGTTCACGCAGATCAACTGCTTCTAATTTAGTGCCCACTTTGAAGTTGTTCTCGCCTCTTTGTTCCTAGTTGTCACAAGCAGAAAATAAAGATGAGTCTGAGGATTTCGCGTCAAAATGAGAACGGACATAAACTTGAGCAAAAAACGGTGGTTTTTAAACATATAAACAGAAAACGGTACCGAAAAGTTACAAAACTGAAATCAAAATTCTCGCTAATCCTAGGTTAGCTTAATCGGGCATTGAACAACCCGGCCCTGCTGAGCTACAGACTAACAATACTTAGCCATTACCTGTCTGAAGAGCTGAATAGGAGCCTCGAAACCACCCGTCTTAGCAAGATATTCAGGCCAGCTGAATGTCTCCACACTGTAGTCTAAAAGAAGGTAAAACAGAGTTTTACTCTACAGAAATGCGTCTCGCTACGATAGAACGTCACTAGCTTCACTGAATTTAATTTCGTTGCTCTAAGACTAACTACTATGTCAACTTGTCACAACGATCTGAAACAGAACGGCAGAGCAAAAATAACTACAAGTTATTTGCTCGTTCGTTTATTCGTTTGTCCATTCATCCGTTCGTTCTTCCGTACGTTCGTCCGTCCATTCTTTGGTGCGTTCATCTTTTCGTTCGTTCGGTCGGTCGCTCATTCGTTCGTTCATTAATACACTACCTCTAGGTGGGTGCAACTGAAGATCATGAGCCTTGGCCCATCCGCAGGGGAACACGTTGATTGAGTTGGCATGGCACACAAAGTACGTCGCCAGGGAATCAACTCCAAGGACAAAGTAATTAAACTTCAGAACTTTGATGACAGTCACCACACACACATGGCTCGGGTTAAACGGGTCGATAGCTTCAAATTTCATGCCCACTTTGAACTGATGAACACCTGGAGCTGTTCCTGTTGAATCCTAGGAAAGATGAATTTGTAGAATCCATAAGCAGAGTTATGTCGTCAGAATAGGAGGTACTTTTGTTGCCGTTGCTACAATGCACAGTTGTGTCTGGTTCTACCTTCTTAGTTTGTATATAAGAAAAGCTGTTGAGTAGTGTGATTGTGTACTTTCATGTGGTACCATTTGTTATGCTATATAAGGTGTTTCTAACATTAATGTGTGGACAAACCACTAACGTGTGACCATTCAAATGAAAGCTAACGAGCTGCAATCTTCATCTCGGAGACTTGGAAATTTTAAAACTGCATTCTTTAACTTCCGAAGTTTATGTGCCTTTTGCTTGCTAGAGAGCGCATGAACTGCTTTGTTCCTCTCACTTCATTCATTTGTGTAAGTGTTGAAGCAGTCAGTACATAACACGATGCAAACCTGCACGAAGAACTCTTGAGGTGCATCTAAAGAGTTCGCCAGATCATCTGCCAAGAATTCGTTCCACTTACTGAGACTGTGTTTCCAACCTAAAAGACATGTGGAATCAGAATTGGACTCAGAAATTTACTGCATGTTTTCACACAACCTATATGACCAAAACAGTTTGATCACACTACAACTTTACCAATGGGTGGCTGCAAAGTGTGTCCCACCAGGGACGACCATCCGATTGGATGAATCTCCGACGACTGGTAGTGGCACCAGAAGTCCTCAGCGACATCATCATCAAGACCATCATATCGCATGCGAAGACGGTCACCGATCACATCGACTATGGTGGCCACACACATGGAGTACATGTTCTTACGATCAGCCACTTCTACTTTCATGCCCTTTTGAAATCGGTTGTAAGGCTGGCTTTGTAGTTGCTGAAGAAACTCGACCGAGAAGGTCTTTGCTCCTGAGAGACATTTGAACAGGTAATCTCTCCAATTGGCACAGTTCTCTCTGATAGCTGTAGAGACCGAAAATAAACAGTACTATTAGTAATAATTACTAACTAAATACATGATTATAATTACTATACATAATTTATTATTATGTATTACCAGTTCACAGATCCTTGATATAGTAAATTTGAAGGAGTTCAATATCAAATTCTTCTTCCCAAGTTCAAACTCATTAATTCATTCACACCTAGTTATTCACAATTTTTTCATTTATCATTCTCTGAAGTGTAACTAGTTTTGAATCTCTCTTCCATTGGAGTTCCAATTTCCCTTTATTTTAATAAATGCCTTTAAAATCTTAACATGATGGGCAACCTGTTCCAAGTAAGAGTGAAAAAACTGTCTTCCCTTCCCCTCTCCCTCACATCTAAAGAAATAAGGGCAGGAGGCTTGCCAAGAATGGATGGCCAATATAATTTCGTCAGCAAAGCAGGTTATGTTTGTGGAAGCTTGTCACATGTAAGTGATGGTAACAGGACTGAGTGGAGTTCCGTCAGGGATTTCATTTACATTTTCAGCAGGAGGGACACTGGTTTCCACAGGCGGGCAAAACTATTAGAACTGAACTTTCCTTTAGATAGTCAACCTAGGTGGGCAAAATCATCCTCACAGTTGGTCAATTTGCACGGTGCCCAGCCTTTAATGAAACCCCTGGTTCCATTTGGTCTGTAATATTATCCGGACTCAGAGTAACAAAATCTCTCACCACGAAGCCAGAGTGTGATTCGTTTAATTGTGGCTATGATTGCGCAGCAAATTGGACAATTCCTGTCTCAAAGACTAACACTATACCATACCTGGAGGTGGTATAAGCAGTTTATTCCTCTTGGCACACCAACCAACCGGGTGAATATTCTTTGATCTCAAGTCAAACCAGAAGTCACCAGCAGGGTTGGATTCATAACCTTCATATCGTAACTGAACTCTGTAGTGTTTGATCTCAATCACTGTCGCCACCCAAAATGCCACGTCAGTATCATCGATGACATCCATACTGCAGTTCACAACTTCAACCTTCATGCCAACATGTACGCCCTTCAAACATGGGCTTAGACTGACCTGTTGAGAAAACATGAACAAGAAATAATGTAAAATACCATTATAGATTTAATACTTTGCATACAGCTCCCCAGGGTATAGTCTCCCTTGTTCAGAAACCCTCATATTAATTACACAAACCATGTCACCATCCCTGCTAAGTTCTCCCATTTGCACAAACAATGTCTTCCTCACACTCCATCTGTTCATGTGTGACATACCCTATGAGCAATAATGACCTCAATTTTTTCTCTGTGACAATGTTTTTTGGCCAAACTGATTCACTTACAGCAGCTCTTTATGTAAAACAAATGTCTGATGAACTACCACTAAATTCTCTAAGTCTATGGGGAATTTGTTTTTTCTTTTAGCTTGGGCAAAGAAATAAATTCATTCTTACATGTTCAAATAGATGATTTGCAGCAGCTTTAGCTCCTGTTTTCTTGAGGTACTCTGACCAGTCAAAGCTGCGATTCTGCCAGTTTTCACCAACGTCTTTGTAGAGGAGAGAAAAACAACATTCTAAGAAATTACTTTAAACCAGAACAAATTAGAAACTATATATTAATTACATATACTGCTGATGGAAAACATAGTGGCCAGTTGGTAAGAACTTTGGATTCTAGATTCAAGCATCTGGGTTAGTACAAGTGCAGTGTTGTTCTAAAGACACAAAAGTTTCCTCTGACCAACAGTTTTTATCTCCACTCAGCAGAGATACGATGGATAGCAACCTGTGATCAACCTGTGATGGACAAGTTGGGACAAGCATTCCATCTAAGGGGATTGTGGGTGGGGGAGGAGAGGGCAAAACTACACCCCCCAGGACTTCAATTTGTGTTACGCAAATCTAAGACAAGAGCTTTCCCAAAGGCATTGAGGCAGAAGGTGCTACCTCTTACACTGAATCCACAAATCCAATGAAGTCATTCACTTGACAAATCAGCAAAAAACAACTTGTGGTCTGAAGTGCATGGATACATTTAAGATTACAATGCTGAATAATCAATACCTTCTCTTGACAAGGGGGGTGCACTTGCATTAGCTCCTTCAGCCTCCTCCTGAAATTAAAGAAAAAGTCAAGGAATTTATTTGATGCTTGTCTATAACTTGTCATTACAAGGGGTCTACAACAAAGGGGGTGGGTTAATACTTGGATTTACAGTTACATGTAGCTGATTGCTGCAAAAGCCTCACCTCATGTCCATCTTGAACTGTTTCTTGAACACTAGAAGCCGTTGCCGCAGTAGTAGCTGAAGATGTTGTTGCCGAAGCAGAAGCCAAAGCATTAGTATTGTGAGCATGCCGTTCTGAAGTTCTGTGTTTCTTTTTTGGAGTTCCGATCTTTTCTCCTTTAGATTTCTTTTTAATATTCGATGCAGAGTACCTTTTTGCACACTCCATTTTACAGAAGCGTTTGGACTTTGAGAAAAAGTGTTCTCTTACCCCAATGTAGCAGCAGAATTCACACTTGGCTGTATCGGACAAAACAGTTACTATGTTAGAAAGAAGGTCGAGTTTTAAAGAAACTTTATGATGTCTGTCTGAAGTTCTGTGTTTCTTTTTTGGTGTCCCAATCTTGTCTCCCTTTGACTTCTGTTTAATATTGGATGCTGATGAGTATCTTTTCGCACACTCCATTTTACAAAAGCGTTTGGACTTTGAGAAAAAGGATTCCCTTATTCCAACGTAGTGGCAGAATTCACACTTTGCTGTATCAGACAAAACAGTTACTGTGTTAGAAATTAAAGAACGTTTAGTTTTAAAGAAACTTAATGCAGAATACTTAGAATTAAATTTAACATTTTTAAACCTGTGAAAATTACCAAAATTAGGGATGAAATGTATTTTTAAGCTTAATTGGCATTTTGTGACTGGCTTTTAACTAAAAAGAAACACTATACAATGCAGTTCAAGAAGAACCGTTAACTAAAAGATCATCACTCATCTGAAAGTAGCCCAAACGTGACAGAAAGCTCATCCAAAGTGACTAATAGTAGGTTGCCATAATAATTTCATTGAGGACCTTCCAACAAATCATCACATTTAGATACTCTGGTGAATGAAGAAAGAAGCATGTGGTTCCTCCTTTGAGCACCCTCCATCGAGCAACCAATAATAAATATTACCACCCCAAGTGCTGGATTGAATCATTATGGTACAGTTGGACCCCGTTAATTTGAACTCGGTTATTTCAAATTCCCCACTATTTTGAACTCAAAATCATTTCCTTTGGATATGACAGTCACTCATTTACTCGCTATTTCAAAGTATTTTTCGTTTTCCCTAAGAGTCTGAAATAGTGGGGTTCAACTGTATGTGGAGATGTAGTTGAACCTCACCTAAGTACAATCCCACGCAATGATGTTTCAGTGCTGCTTGTGAAATTTATAAAAAAGCATGGGTAGTTTGTACTAACAACAATAATTGGAGAGTTGTTTTAGCTGCGAATAAAGGTACGTGCTAAAGGTAGTTTTAACACACAGAGTTCTAATAAAGATGATAGCAAGAAGCAAATGCGCATAAATGTCTGCAAAGATTTGTACTTAAGGGAGATTCCCTTAAGTCACATTTTGAGGAGAAGTCAAAATTTCAAACAAGAGCCACTTTGGATGTTCTTACTCTCACATAATAACTTTTCTTAGTTTGCTCTACCAAAATCAATAACGTATGCAATTATTTTTAAGACGGTCATTGCATTAGCACACACATAAACATGGATGAAGCTAAAATGGCAGCTGTCAATTAAATTGCTGTAAGAAAATGCATTTCAAGTGACTATATGACATATACAATGTAACATTATTCTGCTCCGATCTTTCATTTACGCAATCTGTAAGTGTAAATGAAGACTTAAAGGATAGGCATGCTTGACTGACGGTATGGAAGGTCGCATTACCCATGTTCTCAGCGAGAGGTTCATCTTCTGGGACCTCTTCTTTAGGAGGCTCTTTCTCAACCTGTAAAATTGGAATGAAACATCATTTTCTTGTTGACTATTCCAAAGATTTATAAGTGCTTGACATTTAATAAGTTGGTTTGCATTTGACTGCTGTCACTCCCACAATTACCATGGTGAATGGCAAATACGAGATTTTGTGAGAAGGCCAGAGTGGTGTTTTCCTTTGAAAGTCTGAGACATTTTGACTTCTTAAATTACATGACCGAGACTTCAAAGTATGGCCATGACTGTGAGACATTTAGATTCTAAGACATTCTAATTCAGATGCCATTTCAAAACCAAACAAAAAAATCAGGACTTAAAGACTTTCTTAGCATTGCAAAAAATCAAGACTCCGAGACCATTTTATGAAAATTCGAGACACACATAACCACCAAAAAAACAAGACAACAAGAGCTGTGAAATTTAATGAAAACTTTGCGAGACCCACAAGTTTTGATGGACAATTTGCCACCCCTATAGTACAATGCACATGTATTGAACAGGGGTTTTTCTACAGGGCAACACTGAAATTCCTGATTGAAATTCCTGTCAGTGAATGTAAACAGAAACATGTACATGAACAAGGAGAATGAATAATGGGGATGTCTACAGCCATTTATACCAGGGATTGGGAAGGCAAACCAGGCAAATGAGCCTATGGCCCATGGCATTGGAAAGTTAGGGGCCATTTATAAAAGGTTTGGACCATTAGGGTAAATAAATGGGCCATAAAAAAATGTTGACAAATGATATGTAATTCTTGATTGTTGTTGTTTTATACATTTTACTGGACTTCAAGCTACATGTAGGTTAAAGGGTACAGTCACAGAATATAGCTAACTCAAATTATATAACCTTTCATTGAGGTTAAACTATGCATTCTGAACTGGAAATGATTAAACTTAACACACCAAGTAGTCTGACATCAACATCACTGAGACATGCTCAGTTTTAGATTTAGAGTGACAAGTAACATTGCATTTACAATTTAAAACTTGAGCTATGCATCAACTGTACATAACACAACCTTGAGCTCTCTAATAGTTAATGAAACGTTAACCAAAAATTTTTCGTTCCTCAGAACTAGAAGGCTTGGAAGCTTCATCTTGATTGTTGTTTTCAGGATCACAATTCCTTGTGGCCGGCTCGGCATTTGTAGTGCAAAATGGCCACAATCTCTGTGTCTTTTCCAATTTAGGAACTTTCGCTTTCAGAGGCCTATTATTTGGCTAATTACAGCATGCAAAACATATTCAAATCAGCCGATTCTATCAATGAAAAACAGAAAGCACATGGATTGAGCAAGAAACTCGTTTGCGAGCAGAGTCCGAATAAGGGGTCTGGGAACGAAAACAAAACGAACGCTTTTATAATGTCGATAAAAGAGCAAACGAATTGTGATTTCTCGCGTGTTCATTCGTCATAACACCGAAAATTTCTCAAATGAAAATCCTTTCCACAAAGTAGTGTACATTTTACTAGCTGCTTCGATGCTAAGGCGTATCGTAGGCCCAGTAGGTGCTTCTATAATGCACCATTTCGTAGATTTCTGCGCCATGTGTGCATGGCGCACAGCCTTCCCAATCCCTGTTATGCAGTCCAAAACTGACGAGAATGTTTGTTATTATAACTATTTAAAAAGACACATTGGCAGAAATGCTCTCTGTTTCGTTTAGAAAGTCACTTGACCATTGAAAACTAAATCCCGTGTTTGTAAAGAGCTTTACAAACACAGAAACCAACCAATTGGGTGTGTGTACCAAATTGAGCACATTGTAAATGCAATTATTATACTGCCTTTTTAACTTAGAAACAAAATAGAAAGCTGTTGCATTAACATGTTTACAAACACAATGTACATAGCTTGATGCAATCCAAATACTCAGTACATCGTCAAATACCTACAGCTTGAGCATTTCCAAAATATCTGTGTATGGGTCTTGACATATAGACATGTGCACATGTATATATTCTAAAGCACAAAGGTGAAACTTAGTAACTGTTTCATTGAATTATTATTTTGAGCATTACTTCATTGTGATGTGAGAACCATCATTGCACCTACAAATTCCAATTCTGAGAAGAAAATTTTGGCCAACCTGCTCAGATCCTGCTGTCTCCTTAGTGGCGGCGTCATCCTTTTCTATCACAGGGCCTGGCTCTGGACTGTCATAATTACGCGTTTCTTCCTCACCATAAAAAGCTAGGATTTCACCCTGTCTTTCTGCCTCTGTGTCCCCCTTTAAATAGTTAATGATTGTTAAGTAAAACAAAATAAAATACTATGTGCAAATTTTGGGGTTTAAATTAGGTTTTGGTTTGAAAGTTGTTAAAACCACTTTAGGGAGATGATGAGAAATGAAGGCTTTTAAAAAGAGGCAAAACTAAAATTAAACACAAATTTACTTAAAGAAATTTATCACTGAAAACTATCTATTTCATAAGTTAACCTTCCTTATCTGCCCAAATACACATTCATGAATCACCAGTGAAGGAATGGTTTTCTCAGTGATATTTGCACTTTGCACCTTGTGCCTGTGTTTCAAGGCAATTCCTTGTGCAAACGTTTCACATGAAAATAAGTTTGATTTGAATGAAAATGAACCTGTAGGCAGAACACATTTTCATATGAATGTTTTGCATGAAGACTTGTTTTGACAACTTGGAAATGGTCTAAATCATAATGAAGCCTGGAAGATCCCTTCAGCATTCTAGGTGGTAATATTGCTTTTTTTTTGTCCTAAGGTCATATATAATGACTTCACTCCTTGCCATTTATAAATAAAATAATGCCACAATTCACACTGTCATTACATCTGATGACTTAAATACAAATAATAGCAAATACATGTAGCTCCCTTCTAAAAACACCTAACACAGATTACATGGTCTCAGTTGTATATGAAATGTGCTTACGATATTGAGAAAAGATAACTTCAGTTTACTGCATTTTGTAGTGTAACATAATTTTATTTCTTCATTTGAAAATGACATTGAGATGATTTCTAAGTGTTCTGGAATTTAATTAATTTTTATTCTTAAATAGTCATCTAAAACTAAAATGACTATGATGTTTTTCACTCTAAATTTACACCACAACTCTGAACTGCTCTCATTATATTGCAGCTGTAATTAATTCATATAATTTGTATGGTGATGCACCAAACAGTAGAGATAATAACAAATGTAATTACATATACTCCTGCCACAAATAATGTCCTTTTACAAGAAAAAAATACTCTTGTGGTAAAATTATATTATTTTATTATTTTGTCCAACAGAAATTACCTTGATATTAATCTATGTATGTTCACTTTACTTAACTTATCTACCACACTACTTGTACATGAGGAAAAACGTAAGCAGGGTTTTTATATTAATGCATGTATGTATGCATGCAATATTTTAATTAAAAATTTTGAAACTAAAAATAAAGGTTTTCATTTCAATATTTGAATGATACATGTATTAAGCCCTAAATGATTGCTATGGTAATTTCTGTCCCCCATCAATGAAAAAAAGTTCAATTTAATATTGGAATCATTGATAATGAGATCACAGCCACCTGGGGGTGTAAATTTTTTCTCACAATGTAAGACACACCACAGTAACATGCAAGACTAGTGATTAACATTACTGGAGTGAGTGTATGTGGCTGTGGTTAGAATTATAAGAAAAAGTCTAAAATATAGTCTGTGTAAGCACTACTGTAGTTTTAAGTATCAAACCTTGGATTGGTGGTATATTATTAGCCAAATAGTATACTAAAGAAGCAGAGCAATTTTATAAATTGACTAGTCGTAGAAGTCAACAGTTGATAAGCGCATGCACATATACAACAAGGAATGGTGCTTTAACACGCCAGCTGACTAGGTCTTTCTTGATTATATGAACAACATTAATTCTGTTTTCCAGAACAAGTTCGCTTGATAACTCACACAGTGACAAGATGCCATTCTTGATCATGAGCATTTCTTCACTTTTTAGAACAAGATGGTTTGGTTTTGAATATCACTGTTTAAGTCTCCAGTTTTTAGTGATCTTGACAAAACTACTGACATTTCAGGGATTCACACAACATTGGTAACATAACAAGATTGAGCTCACTATTAATATTGTAACACAGTAGTGCATTTAATTCCAACTAAACCAGGATGCAGCTAAGAGCCAGCCATTGACTAGTTTCACCCCCTGAGAGAGATCTTATCAGAAACAGGAATTTCATAAGACAAAAAACTTGAGGTAGTTTTGAAGGGTCAAGAGCCAAAAAACCTGGCTGGGCCTGTTAATGAGCCAGATTAGATTATTCTTACCTACATTGCTGGCTATCAGATAAATTTACCTTAATGTTGGATTGTTCTTCCTGAAGAGGGGTCGGCATACTTGTCTCTTCTGACATTGGCATATTTAAAGGAAGGTCGCTGGGGGAGCTCTTCTCCTTTGTCTCAGCATCCACATCTCCTGTTGATTTTGCTGTGTTCACTGGTATGGGGGCTTCATCATTTGCTAGAATACAACAAGACAGGGCCATCAATGGTTACGATCAAGCTACAGTGTACTTCTACAGAATCATTGAGAATAACACCAACACCAAAATTGACCGTTTTACTGCTTGTAAACTGTCAAGAGATTCAAGTTTTTTGGCAGTCGTAATTTGAAGATCTTCTTGGCTTGTAATGCCATGCTGATCACTTCTTGAGTTTGATTAAAAACATTTACATGAATATATTACTCAATTCTTGATAAAAACATGGAAATCTGAGGTCTGGATGTAAAAGGCTGTTCAAGAAAGTAAAAGTTCATGTTGAGCTAAAATTAACAACAGAGGTTTCTGCATAGGTTTATAACCTTTAGTGCATATCCTGGTCTCTCAAAAAATGTGATCACTTACAAATGCAGATATACAGGTACACAGGTACTGAATAAACCACTTTGTGAGCATTTTAATCACTTTAAGTTAAAGTTACACTCACAGATGACAAATGAAAATTATTAAAAGGTCAAAATGACTTACCTGGTATTTCCTCTGAGACTTGATCCTCCTAAAAATTAAAAAAAAAAAGAGTTACAGCACATCTGATTTAGGGTTGATAGGGTAAATAAAAAATATCAAGAACTTTTTTCATCAGACTTCACTGATACTATTGTGATCAGAGCATTAAAACCAGATCAAGAAAGATATTCTACATTCCAAGAGACAAAATCCAGACGTATAGGTGGAACCATTCTAGCACAAGAAAAATGCACAAGAAAAATGTTTTGGGTTTGTGGATTTTACAACAGAAAATATATTTTCAAGAATTACATGTAGAGAGCTTAAAACATTGGCAAATATCAATTTAACAGCAAGATATGTTTTGTAATAACATCACGTATGGAGTTCTCGTGAAAATCATCATTTTCGTGTTTAATTTCCACAACGTTATTCGAGTTCACATAAAATCTGCAACTTAAGCATTAATTTTGTAAGTGAAAAAAAATCAAACATAAAATAAAAGATATGCCAAGTTGAAAAAGCAATGATCAGTAAGGTATACACAGAATGACTGCAAATTAAAGTCATCGTTTTTAACATGCCGTGCGATTGAAATTCTGACAATGCAAGTTAGCCAAATTAACATTGCGGATATTGCAGTTGTTAAAGACTGTTCACACCACAGAGTACGTGTAAGTCGCATTTCTAACAGATTGTTTTCTATCAAAGTAAAAGTTTAAGAGTGGTTTTCAACATCAACACTTGCCTTCAGTCTTGGTATACTTTTCCGAAGCAGAAATTCGCCAAACCGTTTCGTCTAAATATTATTTTTAATGGGAATTATGTAAACAAATACTCTGGCCTTACTCATGTATACTATTCGACAGCTGTTTTATAACAATCCCTAGACAACCTCAAAACATGTTAGAAACAATTTACATTAATTCGACGCTAAACTAGTGTAATTTTTCTCTTAACTTTCCCACAGCTCGAATGGTCTTTTGGGTGTTGTTAAGCTCGAGACCCTGTTTTCATGTCAATTTCTATTGTTCAGACAGGCAAAAATTTCTCGAAAAAGAATTTGGCAACAAAGAACAACATGGAGGGATAATTTTCAGCCCAAAATTTGAAGCAATCTTCAATCTAATATTATTACCATTCTTTATGAGAACACATGATCTTTTTGTTGTTGAAATTAGGGGAAAATTCGAAGGAAGTACTCACATTTCGCGTCTCAGCTGTCGCCATCGTTGAGAATCCAACCTCGGTTTCGTGCAGAGCATCATACCCAGTCCTCAAAGGGCTTGCCGCTTTTTGATGACGTACAATGAATTTTTTCCGCTTCGAAAACTTCAGCATTTTCCGATATTTTCATTTAAAAAAATTCAGTGAGATGAATATTTGAACGTCTTTTTATTACTTACTAAGGATTTATAAATCGGAATTTTGTTTTATTCTGTTTTCGCTTGAACGGAAAACTTTTGAGAATACTTCTCTGATGTCATTCGTACCCAGACTCTCTGGATCTAACATTCCATAGCGAGGCTTGGCTGACCCCAAATCCAATATGGCCGAGGAAACTCTTGATTTTTCCAAGCACAATATTCAGCCAATGGTAAGAAATCTAACAAGGATTCTACTTATTTTGTAGTGGTATCTGCCATTTTGAATTGATCTTTTGCGTAGTGAGTGTTCGCTTTTTAGTTTAATGTTGATATAAAGCGTGTAATTTTAAATCTCTGCATGAAGACTTAGGGAGTGACATTCGGTCATTTCCCTTTAAGAATTGCTTTCTCAATGCACGTCTAGACCAAGAAATAGTTGGCCTCCAGGAGAGTTGCTATGTTAATTGCCTTTATTTAAGCGTAGAGACTTGTATTTGAAAATACTTGGAAAATTCAAAATCAGCGGTGCTACTGTTGCATGGGTGCAGAGAATCAATGGGTACATTCTAAAAGTTCGCTCAAGGTTATTCCTCAGTATTGTATTGTGCATCCCCACTGTGCATAATTTTCGAGTCTTTACCATGTGCACACGAACACGTGCACATAGACAAGGCAAAAGATTTCCCTCAAGCTTAGCTCAACAGCAAAATAAACACTCGTTTTCTTCTAAACAGGCATGGTGGCCTATATTTTTTATTGCATAATTTTGATGTAAAAATTATGCTTCAAGTTAAAAAATAAAGAAAAAAATTACTCGGAAGGAAAAAAAGATATAGCTAAAAGAGTGCACAAAACCATATTCAAGGATGCAAATTATGACTTCAAAAACACAAAAGTAACAACTACTTGAGGAATGCTTTGAGTAAATGGTGCTTAGAATTGTGTGATTTTTCCATAAATTATATATTACATTGTTCCAAGTGCCCTTGACTTTCTATCTATCCAGATTTTTTTCAAGTATTGCTTTAATAATCTTTGCTTCCAGCTACGGCAAAATGTAACATGAACTGGTGAAATATCACGCGTGTTTAGGCATAAATGGAGTAAAATTGGCCCATTGTATCTCTTAAGCGAGCATGGTTACCTATCCTTTTTATTGTATTTTTCAAAACAGTGCTTGATAGGAAACATTCAGGGAAAGTTTCAAAAAAATTGTTCGATAACTTTTATTGCTGAGGAATCACCTTAAAGGAGCTCAGTCACGGTTTGCGCATATTGAAAAGTTTAGCCTCAATTTTTCAAATTCGTCGTTTGTAATCCGTGTCAATCTTCCCCATCCTTAGCCATCCTTGTTCCTTTATGGTTTATCATTATCTCTTTGGTGTTTTTCTATCTTATTAAACTGTTATTTTCAGGTTTCTCACCATTTAAGAGTCCCTGTCCATAAAAATGGAAAATAACTCGGCAAGGGTCGAAAATTCGATTTCGCTCATTTTTCATGGTAGATAGGCTAGGGCATGACAAAAACTACTGGATAGTTTTTTTGGCTAAATATCCTTTTATTTCAAAGAAATATGCAAATTACCAAATTCCGTTAAAATCGTCATTTGACGCACCATTTTATTAAACAAGT